CATTCATCTGTGGGAATCACACTGCCAACTGTGGGTCAGTGGATCTAACCATTTAACCAATGATGTTTTTATTTTGAGTGCAGGATTCAAAGCACCAATCCCTTAGGATCAATGGACAAACACCCTACCAACTGAGGAGAAGGAGAAGAAGAAGAAGAGCAAGAAGAATAAGAAGAAAGAAGAAGAACAAGAACAAGAAGACTCACCTGTTTTGACCTAACTAATAAACACATAACTTCTTGCTCAGCACCTTTTCATTTTCCATTGTTGTTATTCCATTGTATAAACTTTCAATGCCCATATATAGAGATAAATTAAAAACCTGAAAACTCTGAAAAATCTTTCATTTTAAATTCAAAGTGATATTTCTCATTCTTCCTGCTATATTAAGCTACAGTCACTTTCTGAACCAACATCAACTTCAATATTCAAAGCAATTTATATAAGTAAGACGGTATGAAAACAAATCTCCATTCTGTTCTTCCGGTCATCTCTTTTGAGCTTCTTCAAACTCCACAAACAATGAAATAAAACAACAGCTCCACCCTCACTGTTCGGCACAGATCGTTCACATAGACCACCACATGGAGGAAGCTGTGTGTCCCATGTGGATGTTTTCTCAGGGAAGCACAAATCAGAGCTCACACCTGCCTCTGTTCACACAAATGTTTGATCTGCTACAACTACTATGTGCTTTTCCCCAGGGGAAACCTGGACACAGCACAGATCTAACAATAAGATCAGAGTTTGTTAAAAAAAAAAAAAAAAAAAAAAAAAAAAAAAGATATTTTCTTTGGACTCGGGTAGAAAAATATACCTTATACCAGGTCAGCTTCTAGTTTGCTGATTGTGTATGGTTTTTCAGATGCTAGAAAGCAGAGGTGGGACCAAGTTGTCGTTTTGCAAGTCTTAAGTAAGTCTCAAGTCTTTGACCTCAAGTCCGAGTCAAGTCCCAAGTCAAATACAGGCAAGTCCAAGTCGAGTCTCGAGTCACTGGCCCATAAGTCAAAGTCAAGTCCAAGTCATCTGCTTTGAGCTTCAATTCATTTCAAGCGTTTAAACGTACAAAAAATACCAAATATAGCTTAGATTTTTGCAATTTATATGACTTTTAAGATAAATTGTGTTTATAAAGCCACAGTATGAGTATTTAGAAGAGTATATAAGAGTTGTAGAAATACAAATGTTTCCTTTTTAAATGTCTTGACAAGATCTTAGTGTGAATCATTACGGTCAGAATACAGAACAAATTCAGATTTAAAAGTGCTTCTCAAGTCTTCTCAAGTCTGAGTCAAGTCCCAAGTCACTGACCTTCAAGTCCAAGTCAAGTCCCAAGTCACTGACCTTCAAGTCCAAGTCAAGTCCCAAGTCTTAGTCCATTTTATCAAGTCAAGTCTCAAGTCTTAAAAATAGTGACTCAAGTCTGACTTGAGTCCAAGTCATGACTTGCAAGCCCCCACCTCTGCTAGAAAGTACTGATGTCACACTCTCAAGGGACAATTTCTCCTCTTGATTACACTCAACTTGAAATGAAATATTCAGAGGATAAAAGCACAGATGTTGAACCTGATCATTTCTATTACTGACTAGACCAGAGAATTCACAATATTACAACAAAAATCTGTGTTTTATCAATATTAATCTTGCCGGACCCCATCTGTATTAAATATTATAGACCTATAGAATCCCGTGATGTCTGAAATCCAGTCATGTAATGTGTTGGTGGGTTTGAATGGGTGGACCAGGACTTGAAAAAAACACATTTTAGAAAACCAAGTGTGTTGACATCAATTTGTACTGCACTGTATTCACTTAAAAAAAAAAACTACACATAATCATTTTTAATGTTGGCATAGCTCTCTATCCCATTCCAAAAACGATTTCTGAATTATACATATTGTGCTGAATGACAATTTGATGAACTGCCATTATAAATGTATCATTTGTATGTCTAACTTTGTGCACTAATAAATGGAAATTTATGTTTTGTAGGTATTCCCCATCTAAGGCTTTTTTTTGTGCTCAATTTTTTGTGACCACTAAAATTAGTAGCTCTTTGGCATTTTCTTTTTGTAAAGGTAGCTCTCCGGAAGAAAAAGGTTGGAGACCCCTGACATAGAATGTAAGAAACACACTGTTTTAGAAATGGTGATATTTAGACTTAGACAAACTTTATTGAGCCACAATCCACACATCCAGTAGCGTAGCATAATTGCACAAGGCCCCAGCACAGGTTTGACCCATCCCTGTGCAACAAACATAAATTCACTTTCCATAGGGCTTACCTCTACAGCCCTAGGCCCCAAAAACAGAAAAGGACACACAATCACTGTTATAATCAAGGACAGTGACAACTAGCATTCCTACATCTCTCAACAAACCCATCCAACCACAGACCGACCGCACACATGATCGTTACTATGAACAGTGATTATTTGTGTAACTTGCACACACCCTACGATCAAAAGCATAAGTGATGGGCCCTCAAAGTGCAGTGGGCTCCAGTGGGTTGCACCGGCTGCACTGCTGAATGCTACGCTATTGCACACATCACACAGAGAAAAAATGTAATGGCAATAATAAATTCTAAATAAGTAGCCTAAAAAAAGCAAGAGACTGATGGCATAATTATATAAATGTATTTGTACAAGTAAAAATAAAATTGAAAAATAAGTAATTAAAAGAACAAACAAACAAAAAAATGTCTGTTGTATTTTACTGCATGTTACTGCTAATGTTGATTATCATCTTTTCTTCTGAAAGATTAATGTATTTGTACATGTTCCCTGACAAATAAAGAATAAAGGATTCCAGCTGCTTGTGGCATCAGTTTAAGTGTCTCACAATTAGAATACGATATGAAACAACCCAAAAACAAGGGGCATAACACAAAACCAAACCACAGGTGTCCCAAAATACACAAGTCACACTAACCTACAATCAGAATCAAGTAAGAATATAATGAGAGACACAAAACACACCCACACTAGAGTCTCACAAACTAAATGAGAGACAAAGACACACCCCCAAACTGTCCACAAACACCAGCAGCTCTGAACAGTCACAGAGGATCTCCTTAAATAGAGGGAGGCGGCTCCAGGTGAGAGGATTGGTCAGGTGTAGAAAAGCTCCACCAATCAGGGATCAGGATATGGCAGCAAACAGGAAGAGGTGGGAGAGCAGTCCACCAATCCAACAAAAGGGCTCACACAGAGTTGTACGAATGAGACAAGCAAACTTTACTTACACAAACAACTCAACAAAAGTAACTAGTTTTATCATTTATACTAATACCAGCTGAAAATATATATAAATTAACTGAATGAATGGCAGTTATTTACTCAAATTGTTTTTTTTTTTTTTTCCCGCAGTCTCTGTGCTGCTTTTGTACAAAGAGGAAGTAAAATTTTGTATTAATCGTATCAAAATAATTAAATACACATTAAGACTTTCCCTCATAGAATATCTCTAAACAATGACATCACCCAGTACATGTCCATGAATGATGTTTTCCCTGTAATATAGTTTTACGATCTGCTCTGTCAGTTTGTTGAAAGAAAGCTGTGTTCATAAAAATGACAGGCCTGAAACAGGGGTCAGCTCGACTCTGGCTGTGAAATGTTCCAGCAGCACACAGCAGCCTGCAGTATGTGGCAGTATGAGGCCTTTAGTATGTGGCAGTTTCCTCCAACAGCTTCCTTCAGTGGATCCACCTGAGTGTTATGAGGGTCATGTCCTCCTGGAGCTGACCACAAATCTGCTTTTACTGAGATATGCTTTTCTCTCAACTACTTTTTATTATCATTATTATTTTTATTAACTAGGATTAAGTTTAATGAAAATATAGGCCCTTTATCAACATAATTATTGGAATGATTTAAGCAGTGGTGGAAGAAGTATTCGATTTTGTTAGTTAAGTAAAATACTGGAGTAGATACTAGAGCAAAAAAAATAATAATAAAAAAATACTCAAGTAGAAGTATCACATGAAAAAAATCTACTTAAGTAAAAGTATTAACATACCTGTTTAAAAATGTACTTAAAGGGTAAAGTAATTTGCACAGAGTTTGTGTAATAAAGCTTGAAATGTTGTGATTTTGATAAAGATTTGTGCAAAATTTAGTTCAACAGAAAAAAACAGATTTTTTTTCCTTTTTTATTTGTATATTTTTATTTGCCCAAATGTATTGAAAAAAGTATCCACATTAAAATGTACTCAAGTAAAGTACAAATGCCTAAAATATTTACTTAATTACAGTACTTTACTACTTTTACTTTGTTACGTTCCACCATTGGATTTGAGAGGTTTAATATGGAGCATGCGCAAGTAGTCACACATTTTTCCCCTGTACTACAAGCTTACAACACAAACACTATACTGTAGTAACCACTAACCCGTCATGCTGTGTAAAACCTCATTTTTTACTAGAGTCTCCATTCCAGACATTTACCACAGTGCTGTGAGGCTGGCCCCACTTCCTCACTCAGAATACCCAGAATACCTGAGGGGATTACCTCTGAAGCATGTGCACTCCACTTTAGATTCATCTGTTTCATGTAAGGCACAATTTATGATGGTAACAAGTTGTATTTATTTACATCACAGTAAAAAGTACAAAAATCTTACATATTTCCAAATGTGGTATCATCGTGTACCCATCCCATATCCAGTCATGTATGTATGTCTATTCTTGTAATATACATGTAATATTTTTTATTAAACACTTAAGGCAGTGTACTCTTTTATTGTTCTGTAATTTACTGATTAATCCTTCTTCTTGAACTTCAAATCTCAAAGAATCTTTATGAAAGTACTGGGATGGTGAGTGCCTGCCTTTACACAGGCTTCATTAGAATAAATAAGGTAAACAGTCATGAATTATGTGAGAAGTACTATAGTTCTTTGGTTTTACACTTCAAACATATGCATTTGTTCCATACCAATAAAAGATAACTTAAAAGAAAGATGATGCATATAAATATCAAAAAGGTACACAAAGTGGAAAAAGGAATTTATTTGTAAAGCACTTCCATCAATGCCCTGTAAACAAAGTATAGGGACTAAAAAACACAAAGTATTCTACAAATAAATAAATAAAAATCTCTATTTGTCTAAGGAGTTAGTGAGCAGCCGGCTCCAGTGTTAGAAAAGATTGACCTCTAAAGTGAGTGCCTCTGTGGCCTTCACATGTCTCTATAGACAGGACACTCTAGGTCCTTGGAGATGAAAGTATCATGAACAGCAGCTATGTGTAAAGATGTGGTGTGTTTATGTTAAAAATGAATTTTTGCTTAGTGCTTTTGTCTACTTGAACTAGACTCTCCCATTTAAAACTTTGATGATTGTCACACATATCAGTGACCATAGCCACACTTTCTGTAGAAAAAAAACATTGTAACAGTGACCTGTGAAATCTTTAGGTGAAAGTAACAAGTGTCTGTTGGTTTACTTTTGTCCTGTTCCCAAACCCATGTGGTGCGGCCCTCTTATCTGCAAATATCTTCAATTATACTTGTGATATTTGTCCACTGTCACTGTGGTGAAAAACAGAAGTCCATCTGTTTCAGCTGTGACCATGTGTGACGGGAGATGTGTGTTTGTGAAGTGTGGACAGAGAAATGATTTTACCCAAGTGTCATTCACACAACCAAAATAAACGTACTGAACATACACCGGGAATGTAACGGAAATGTAAAAAGACTAAAAACGTGAAAACTCATCTAAACACCACAGAGAAAAGGCTAGCAAAACAAAATGAACAAAACATGGTCATCATGCATCTTACAATTTTCATGTAGCCTCAACCCAGACTAATTGTGTTTATACAGCAGAACAGACACTGGGGCAAACACAAAACCCCTGGCAAGTGCTAAAACTGCTTTTAAGAGCAGTTACCGGAGGATTGAGAATGATTTTTTTGCTTTTACCATTACAGTGTAATTCCATTTGCCACATAAGGCACAATTTGATAAATACAACAGGCTGCCAGAGCAGACAGGTCTTTACACAAGAACTTATTCACAAAATGTACACACAAAAATATCAATACAATGAAACTGCACAGTAAAAATACCTACAAAGTAATTAGAAACTAAATATTATATTAACATCTCATAACGGAGTGTAGTACTGGATGTATCATGGTCTTTTATCAGGACAGCGCAGACCGGGGCGAGAGTGCGTCAGGGCACTGGGGTTATCTGAAGTCATATGCCGAGAGCGTCACTTCAGACCTCCAGTCTCTGTGGGGGGCACTGGGTTGGGACATCTCCACATGTTAGGACTCCTGGGGGACCACCTCCATCACCTTCTGACACAAGGCTGTGGTGGAGACTGAAGGAAAGGAACATAATCACAGTCAGTTTCATAATTTGAGATGATGCACAAAAGGCACTTCAGACAGAAATAGATAAGTGAAGGGAGAATTCAGTAGCAGTTTAAAGGTGCTGTATTACACAAAACTGACTCTTGTAATCCATGTTAGAACATTGTTACATCCTCAAAAACATATCTGCAGTTGTGCTTTGTTTCATTCACACATGTCTGAGAAACATTTATTATCAGTCTGTCTACATCTTCATAGCTCAAAATGCTCTGTTCCACCTTGTGATGTCATGAAGCAGTAGTTTTCAAATGAACAGCTCCTTTTCACCTTTTGTTCAGTAGAGATTGGGAATTCCAGAGCTGAAATTATACACACTAGAAATTGAATAGAGTTTAAAAACACAGTGGAGCATGTCCTGTATTACCATATGACATCACAAGGTGGAAGAGTGCGTTCAGTTTGAGAGAAAAGCTCAAGCCTAAATATGCAGGGTTTGTGTGTTAAAGGTGTGAATGAAACAAAACACAATTCCAGGTATGTTTGTAGTGAAGAAACTACATTATAACATAGATAAGAAAATAGCATATCACAGGACCTTTAAAGAATTCAGTAGCACTTTAAAGTGGCAATACTAAGTTACTAAGCCTTTCATCCATCCACAGTTTTAGCGTAGATCAATATAAAGCTATTATACTCACAGATGGCATTGAGCAGCCACTTGGGTTTGTTCTTCCACCACACACCAAAAAAGTAAACAGGAAGTCCAGTGGCAATGATGCCAAAGCCAATAGCACACTCAATCGGCGTCTTCCAAAATGATACAATGATGAGAAACAGACAAGCCAATACAAAGGCGACTGGCAAAAGGATGTTCACCTGTAAGGGGGAACAATCATATGTTAGCTTTTTACATATAGATACATTAGGGTGACTAGATTTTCAAAATTCTAAACTTAGCCACTCCTGGGTTGGGATGGTTGGTATAAATAAACTTGTGAAAAGAGCATATAAGATTGTGCATTCTCGTGTCAGTCATAATCTGAGGGGCTTCTGTCACTGTATATTGTTGCTTTATGGTCATTTGCAAACACGGATTTCTGCATTTTGGCTAAACAAATGACAATTTATGATCCTCTTTTCTGTTGACAGGACTCAGATTAGTCAGAAAAGTCCTGTTAGTCCTGTTTTTCATCCTGGTTTAAAGTTGATGTAGTCCTGGTTTAGTCTTAGTTTAGACCTGGTTGAGACCTGGTTTAGAACAAAACCTGGGCCATTTCTTGTGTAAAATTGGGACAATTCACTGGTTTTGAATAAATCTCATGAGACAGAGGACACAGGGCTCAAAACTGGGACTGTAACTCTTTAACTATACTCTATAATACAAACAAAAAGAACACACTACAACTACAACAATTACTGCAATTAGTGAAGGCCACAACTGCTGACCAGCATCTGACGTCTCTTTTGTTCTCAACTTAACAACCCAACAAGTTATTTTATATTGTTGAATCAAATGCCCAAAATGTAGTAATAAGGAATAATAATAATAATAATAAGGTATTGATATTTTACATGACATCACGCTGGAGGTCTTCTACACCTATCTCTAATGGTGTAATGTTTAGGAGTTACCATGGTGACACACATGCACACATTATCAAACACTATCAAAAAGTTTTAAGATAGTCTGAAAAGTCAAGAAAAAAAGTTCAGGGTCTTGTTTAGGTGTTTGATTTTCAATGGAAATGGTGATTGTGAGTAAATGAATACATTTTGGTTAATGCACACTAGCTTGTGTCTGTAATTTTATTTGACAGGAACTAGTTTAACAGCACAAACCACCTGTTGTAGGTCCAGGTAAATGAACTCTTCCTGGTCAGATTGAGTCAAAATGAAGTTCAGATTAAAATCTAACTTGAGTCACAGAACAGAGCCTGCAGTTAACGCCACACCCCCAAGGGACTAACAGTAATCAATAGAATCAATTGTCAATAGACACCATGGGCACATAGAGGCATTTGTGTAATAAATAACTTTTAAATGTGTTCAGCTCATTGAGGTTAATGTTAATGTCAGTGGTGGAATGTAACAAAGTAAAAGTAGTAAAGTACTGCACTTAGAATATTAAAATGGGGGGTTTAGTAGTGGTATAGTTTAAAAGTAGTTCATTTTCAGCACGTTTATAGGTTGATCAGACAAAAATACAAAAAAAAAAAAAAAAAGATTAAACTGTTTCTGTTCAACAAAATTCAGAATTGAATTTTGAATTTTGCTTCTAGAATAAACACAATTATTACAACATGTCATAATTATGTTCAACTGTAACCTGAATAATCACAAATTATCAAGTAACCAAATAATTTTGTCAGATCTAAGTGGAAATAGTTTAGTATTTTCTAATATTTTCAGTCCATTCTGGCCCAATTAAAACAATACAAACTGTTAAATGAAAACAGCACAGTTGTATTCTTACTTTAATCGGACGCTCAAGCTCAGGCTTCTTATAACGCAACCACATCATTCCCAAAATGGCCATAGCAATGCAAAGCCAGTTGAAGAAGCTGAAGAAGTTGATGACTGAGAAGATGTCATCGGAGAAGGCATACAGAAGGGTCATCAAACACTGGAGAAACATTTAGAACATCCGGTCAAACAACTTCGTAAGTACATAATTTAGCTTCAAAAGGTGCAAAAGGTGACGTGCATGAACGTACAGTGAATATAAGAGAAGGCAGGGGGGTGAGCAGAGTGGGGTGGATCATGGACAGCAGACTGGGCAGGTGACCCTCACGAGAACCCACAAAAAACAACCTATGGACAGGACACAAATGCATTAGCTCTGGCTTCTTTCTCCAAAGTGGGGAGTATCATTCCTCAGTTTGAGTCAGAGCAAAAATTTTTATATCAATGCTAATGTTCTCAGTTGTTTCTTCACAAGCTATGAGTAATATGTTATCTATTCTGTATTATTTAACTGTTCATTTGAAGTTAAATGTGAGCTCATTTAAAGGTGCATTGTGTAACTTTTCTGGTGTAGGGTCTGTCACCTGCTTTTCTCCATGGATATGTTATTGCTTTGTCTGGAATGTTTCACACTATGGCCTTAAACCTTTCTATCATCATGCAGACCAAACTAGAGCATGTTACAGGTCAGATCTGTGGAGAGGGAGAATGTCTGTTTTTCTAGGTATTTTGAGCTAGAAAACCATTTGTAATTGGAGAAAGGTAAGGTAGATCCGTTTAATCTCATACTGTGGAACATTCTAAGAAGGGTAATGATGTTTCGATAGGAACAAGAAGCTATCGGATCCACTACGAAGAAGTTACACAATGCACCTTTAATTCCTGAAAAGCTCGAGCTAACAAATGAGTGCAGAGAAACGTGCAGGCCAGCTGACTGGAGTTTAATATTTCATGTGTTTGTGATTATAGAGATACAGGATTTTATCAGTGTTTTTATAAAAACAAACCTCATGAACCTTTCATTGTGAACTCTATTTAACTTAAACGAAGGAGAACTAAGGTTTAACTGACAGAATATTTAACTGTTTCTGGAGTAAAATTATGAAAATAAACTCAAACAACTAGCTTGACACAAATTCAGTATAAGCAAATTGAGGAGGCTTCATCTTCCTCTTATATGTAACAATTTGAGGACTTTTCCCATTCAACAGATATCATATTTTGTTTTCAATTGTGGAATAAAGCGCAATAAAGTGCAAATACAGAAGTGCCTATGCCTGTCAATCTTTATTTTTGGGAAAGTAATATTATACAATTGGTCAATTTACTAATTTACTGAGTTTATATTTTTATAGTACAACTTTTTTTTTGATGCATTACCTGGAGGAGGTGAACAAAGAGCCATTGACTGATCCAAAGCAGGACAGCCCAACAAATACTGGGATTATCCATGACATCGGCCCGAGATAGCAGTTCCCGAAGTCCTATAAGAGACACGTGTTAATAGTAATAAAAATACACATCAACAGTGTTATATTTTTGTCAAAGTTTTATAGTGTACTGACCACAGCCACTGCCTCAGAGTTGAGCATCTGGTCTGGGGACAGGGTGGTGAAATAGGCCAGATTGGTGAGAACGTAGACGACTGTTACTATGGGCAAGGAAATGATGATGGCGCGAGGAAGATTCCTAAAAATAAATAGAAAATATCCAATGACATCACATTTACAAAGCATTTTCAGGTATGTCCTGAAAGACAACATGGAATATGCTTACTTGTATGGCTCTATCATCTCTTCAGTAACAAAATTTAGGTAATTCCTAAAACAGAAAAGAAAAAGTTACGCCTTGTATGTATTATGCATGACAAGACAGTGTACTGGAGAAAGTCTGGAGTATCAGAAGCGAGTGGGGTGAATCAAACTTGCCAAATTCCCTTTAAAAAGTCCTATATTACACAAAATTCACTCTTTTGAGTTTTTAGGCATGTTACCTGAAGTGGTGTTTTGTTTCATTCACACATGTTTGAGTCGTTTATTATAAAACTGTCTACATCTCAAAAGTTCAAAATGCTCTGTTCCACCTTGCGATTTTACCTTTTGCTCAGTAGAGATTGGTAATTCCAGGTCTGAAATCATCCAAGTGATTCTAGTGAAGGTGTATGGAGTTTAAAAACACAGTGGAGCACTTCCTGTATTACCACATGACATCACAAGGTGGGCATTACAGAGTGTTTTCTGTTTGAGAGAAGAACTCAGCCAAAATATTCAGGATTTGTGTGTTAAACATGTGTGAATGAAACAAAACAACTCCAGATATGTTTGTGATGAGGAAACATTATAACATATTACATATTATTATTACATTATAACATAAATATAGATAGATAAATTTTAACTTCTTAGGTTCTTTTTAAAGACAATGCAGTAAAGTGTATTTACCTTGTTGACATGTTTCGGCTGCTAGCTGCAAACCATCTTCAGAACTGTCCTGAAGATGGCTTGCAGCTAGCAGCCGAAACATGTCAACAAGGTAAATACACTTTACTGCATTGTCTTTAAAAAAAACCTAAGAAGTTAAACTATATAAGAAGACAAAATGAACATCATTGGCTTAATAGATAGATAAAGATATAGAAAATAGACTAATATGGGCCATTTATCAAGTTGAGTTGGACCAATTTCATCAATAGCACTGACTTTCCTAAAGTTTGTGCAAAACCTGTGGCTTCCATCAGCCTTTGTATCAAGAAAACAAGCTGAACTCCAAGAATTCAAACTAGGCACAGCAAGTCCATTTTGTATTAAATACTTGAGTGACTGCTAAAGTTTGTGTTGTGCATGTGGAGAGAGGGTTGGGGGGTGGGAGTGTTTTGTTTTTAACTTTTTTGTATTGTTAAATATTTTTAAAAGTACTCTTTTGTCACAATTTCCCTTTTAGCTGGACTGACCTGATACACGTCATGTGATTGGTGAAGGGTTAGTCAGGACAATATCATGGGGTGTAACTGAGGTCTGTGAGGAAATGTCACTGAACTGAGTAGAAACTTGTGTGATGTTCTCAGGTTTGAGATTGGGGACAGTGTTTGCATGTAAAACTTAAGCAAAAATGTACTCACCAACCACCATAAGCGAATAAGCCACTATACAAGGCCAGACCAATACTGCCAAAATCATATTTAGAGCGTTGGAAGGAATTCTCTGGTAGCAGGTCATCTGTGCCACCTGGTAGAAAATAAAAAGAAGTGGGTTGGTACAAAGTAGATCAGGATCTGCTTTGTCTGCCTAATAAAGTAAACAGACAGGTTCAGCATGTGGGAATAGCAATAAAGAAGAACAAATGGATGAAGGACAGTGGATTTATGAATGAGACAGACTTTGATACGGTGCTTAAAACGAGCTGAAAGGCATTAGGACTTTATTGGAACTTCTTAACCATGACAGGATTTACGATGATTTCTTGGACCTCCATTTTTTGGAGGTCTGATGAAGATCTACAGCACATTCCTATAGCCCCCCTAAAACCTGTACCCACATTCTCAGACACTTGGACGGTTGCTAAACCAACAGCCCAGGGCACTGTTGGTAATGCGAGGTAAGCCCTAAGCCCAGTGCATCGTGGGAACAGCCTGGTTAACACTGGACGTCTGCCCGTCTATCTCCCACCACAGTGCACACGAGATAGCCACCTGCCCTGGGCCCCAATAAAGAAATGACTCCGCAAGAACACACAGCACTCATTAGTTCAGCTGCACTGTATAATTCTGTAGTTCCTCGTCAATATTTTGAGTTGAATTGGTCACTCACTGCACAGTATTAAGGATAAACTAACTTCTAAAGCAGTCGTAATATTTTACACTACAGTGAAGTCATGAGACTAAAACCAAAGCCACACACTTGAGTCCTCATGTGACCGGCCGCCTCAGGCCTCACGTGAGCAGGTCTGTACAGAACAATGCCCCCTGGCCCCACTCTTCACCCCTCAGGTCAGCTCCAGGTAAAAGTGGACTTGATGTTGACCTTTATAGACTTCAGTGACTCAACCCTCACTTCCGCCCAGTGCAGGGAGACATACCAGTGCTAATGTTCTCACTGTAATAAAAGTGAGAGCAAACAGCACTTGACATTCAAACTAAGTAAATATACAAGACCAGCAAGAAGCGGCGAGCCCGCCTGGAAAATCATAAATATTCACAATAAAAACAACACAATATCTGTTTGAAACGACAATAAAATAATAATTCATCAAATTTGTGCTGCTTTTTGGACACTCAAAGATGCTTTATGAGCAAATAAAATAAATGAAGAACATAAACAGATTAAATCATTGATTAAATTGAAATGTAAAATTTAAATGATGATTATTAAAGACTGGCATACAATATTATAAATATTCATTGCTGTTGGTCATCTTTCTTGTTGAAAATGTGACTCTGGAAATAGAGGTGACAAAGATATCAAAGATATTTTCACAGATAAAACAACTGACTCACAGAACTAATAACAGTTGTTTTCAAGTTGTATCGGAAATATCATAGTTTTAACATCTACGGTATGTCGTACTTCCAAACAGAGACGGCTGTCGAGTCAGAGAACAGGGCTTTCCTGCAGCTAATCAGATTACAATGGTCTCTAATCTGAGGGTACACTAAACCTGACACACAAAAAGGATAAATATGCCACAGGAAGCACCTGCAGAGGTGCCTGACATTTTCTACTGTCTCAACAATGACTGCATTCAACTTTTTCAAAGTTTACTGTTTTTTTAAATGTTGCATTTCGATTTGTTTTATGACCAATTCTACTAATTATCCAATACTGATGTTTTGTACTAATGATGTTTAGTGGCCCAATATTATCTAAAGAAATGGCAAAGATTTGGTTCAGTTTCCCCTTTAGGTATAACTACCAGCATGAACCTGCATTTGTCTAACTCTGTAATGTGTGGGATTTTGAAAAACAGTCATTACAAGTGCTAAGGCAAACAGAAAGTACCTTTGGAAAGCGCTCCAGGTTTAGGGGGTGTAGTGACCACACACAAAATAAATCTGTAACAAATGGGGGATTAGTTATTGTGTTTTTGATAAACATTAGGATCACATGCATTGGCTCAAGGTGGATTAAAGAAAATGAGGATGCCGTTAGGCCTGTCACTATTAATACTATACATTCAGTTATTGTTTAATATATAAAAGCTAGAAAAAAATTAGTTATATTTTTATGTATCGGTAATAAGGTAAGATTTGATCTGTAGAGGGATAAATAAAATAACCTCTATGGTTAATTAGTGGTTACTGTAATTATGCCATTTGTTGCAGTTCATGCTTTTTAATGACACAGTACATGTAAAAAAAAAAGTTTACTGGAATTATCCTGCTTTGTGTCAGTAGCTTGAAGTAGTTTCAATACATGGATCTATATTATAGTTCTGTGTTTCAATATTATCTTTTATCGCATTATTTCTTTGTAGCAATATATTGTGCTTCAAACTGTATAATATTACTTTTCATACATACACTCAACTACTCAGCATGAGTGTAGCTGCACACAACAGCCACAGCATGTTAGACTGTTTGTACAAATCTTCCCCCTGTAGAATATGTACACTGCAAAAAAGTCATCTTATGATTTGGGCTCCAACAGCAGAACAATGCCTTTGGAGAGAATCTTGGGAGTGTTTCCAGGGCGTATTATTGTAGTTTAGTTCATAGCTGTACTATTAATATTACACCGGTAGCCGTTAACTGAAGTACCATTACTATAACCTCGCCCTCTCTACAATCACATCACATTACATTACCAGTGGTTCACTGGTTCAGATCAGAGCACCTGTCACACTAGAACGATATAATGTTTCATACAACAGACTGTACAGAAAAGGTTGTCTAAGGGAGTGTGACATCACCCACAGCGTTCGGTTCCAGTCAAATGGAGCTCATGAGGCTACCCATTATAGAACTAAATTAGGAGCAGAGTTACATATTAGGTATATAAATCTATTTATGGACAAAATAGCGACATAAAAACAGCAGGATCATGTAGAGTGGGTTAATACGAACATTTTAAGACTAAAATGAGGAAACTTACTGCAGCAGTTACAAAGAGAGTGGTGACAATTAGAGTCCAAAGCCAGGGAAGCCTATTTGAAAGTGGGTTAGGTATATATATATGTACTTATATATAAAGTCTGTGTTTGCACAATTAACCTAAAAAATACAAACAATAACTTTAAGTGCTAAAAATAAGAAATGTATATCTTGCTCTGTTACTGTCTTCTCTACAATTCTAATGAGTGTTTTGGTCTTAATAGCCTCTAGTCAGCTGATGTGGGACCTGTGACCTCCACACAAACGGCCGGTCACTTTGTGGGGCCCCAGATTTATGGCACATCCCTGAAGAATGAATATGGAGTGGGCCTCTTTCTAACTATCAGGTCTATGTGACAAGCAGACCAAAGACTCCTGTGACTTTAACAAGATATTATTCAATACTATAAGTTTTCAATCATGTAATAATATTGCAGAAGTATCATTTCACTTTAACAGATTTCACTTTATACAGATTCTATGTTGACTGCGTTTTTATGAGAATTAACAGGATCATGCATTATCGTGATATTACAGGACAACCTTTTTCAAGTGCACTGAAAGTAAGCAAAGGTACTTTCCTTTCAGTTTGGAATTTCAGATTAAACTAAGAAAATTGGACATAGCTGTTGAAATACTGTTTCACTGTTTGCAACTTTGGGAAAACAGTCAATAGAAAGGGCAAGTGATGTGTGGTTAAGAGGTCAAAAGGTCAAGGGTCAGGGCAGAGGTGAACTGTGTCTAGACACTAGTTAAAGATGTTATCAGAGTACAGAGTCGGGTCTCCCTTTCTTTTTTTCTAATCTCCGTTTGTCCCCAAGCCTTTTTACATAAATACACATTGTTTTGTTTTTTTATGGGAAGCTTCACATCTACTTGCTCTTTGGTCCAACATACAGGAAATTGGCCAGCCAGAGGTGCACAGCAGGCCTTGGCAGCAAATACACGTCAGCTCAAAGCAAGACAGGTGCACTGTGTAACTTTTAAATGGGGCTCTGTAATTTTCTTGTTTCTATAAAAGTGTCATTACTCTGCTTTTAATGTTTCACAGTACGACATTAAACAGATCTACCTTATATTTATTCAATTACAGGTTGCTCAAAAGTGTCAAGTGGCATTCTGACTGGGAGCAGGGCTGCCTCGAATTAGATCTCATTTGTAACTTGGCTCGATTTGGTCTTCATGATGATAGAAAAGCTTAATGCCACACTGTGAACCATTTCAGTCAAAGCTGGTGATGGACGCTCCACCAGAAAAGTTAGGCAATGCACCTGCTGACTGGAACATGATGGACACTTCAGAGACCAATCAGTAGAATGCTTCAAAACATATGACACCACCACTGTTTTAACACCAATTTGAAGGACATGAACCTCAATAATCTCAGAAATATAACCAAGTGTCTAGTGCTGTCTCAAGTCTCCATCTTAACAAGGCTCATCCTTCAGAGAGCACTTAGCCTTGGTCATTAAGGACACGTGTTTAGCCACACACTTCTGGTAGATAAAGGCTATTGTTGAAATGTTGTGTTTCAATGGAGACTGTATACATGTACACAAGCCCAGGTTACCATCTCCAGTTTGGGTCCCCTTCCTTAATGAGGCACCAGGCCAGGCTCTAAAAAACCCTGTTGAATCCCAAATACAGTGCAAGTTCTATGTTTGAATAATGCTGAGACTTTGTAGTGACTTATTTTGGCTGTCCTCTTTTAGTGTATTATTACACTTTACTGAACTCACCCAATACATGGAAACTGTAAAAATGTCAATAAATTGTAAATATCATAGGGGTAGAAAATAACTTTCTGTTCAAAAGTGCAGAATTACCTAGACCAATCTTCACAAATCCTATGATGATGATGAGAGCGAGGGCCAGGAGTTTGGCTGCTGCAAAAAAGTCCTGCACTCTGGTAGCTGCCTTCACACTGTAGCAGTTCACAAAGGTCAGCAACACTGGAAAAAGACAGAAATTGATAATTTATTAAAAATTCAAAACAAACCTATTTACTTCTCAATATTCCCTTTTCTGTTTCTACTCCCATCAACAAAGACTTTTAGGAGGATAACCCTGAACCCCATTAGAGCTGATCAACTAAAGCACCAAGTCCCTTCAAAGCCTCTAAATTAGGCCAAGGGACGGGACAAAGCACAAAGAGACTCTGTGTTAATGAAGAGTGGATACAGTAGAGGGCACCTCATATTATGGGCTGTCACTGTCAGCGGGTACAGACCTACTCATGCATAAATGCACCATTCCCACACAGACAAACGCCTAATTTCTACACAGGCCAAGTGAGTTACGTATGTGTGGACTGACCCCCAGTGACCCGCCCTAGATCATACACCCCAGTCATGCACGCACACACACAGCAGCGGGTAATCCTGAAGAGGGAGACGCCAGGTTCACCGCCTTGTCATGTGGGCCCAGTTAGGATTTAGTCCTCACTCAGGCTGCAGCTTAGCACTTGGGTTGTGGCTAGAAAAACTCCAGACTACTGTAAATCTTTTTCTATACACATGCGTCATAAGTTCATGTCTCCACAGGGATGGAGAGCACCTGCTGTGGGGCAATTATCTAAAAGTAGAAAGACAAGTTAGAAGGATACTATAAAATGAATGGCTCTCTTTTGGGAAGATAATTATTAAACATGGATTCCATATGAAAAGAAAATTGGCCTCATGCAAGTTCTGAAGATTGAAACAAAAACAAAAATTCTATTATTTTATTATTTTTCTATTTCAATCATAAGAAATCTAAAATTGTACAAATGCATATGCTGTAAGAGTGAAAAAAATCTTGTCTCACACATTAAACTCAGTGCGCGTATCCTCCTGACGCACTAAATGATGAAATAACGCGGCATTTTGTCACGCCCGAGAGTTTAAACTTGGCCCCACGTGCTGCTACTACGGTTAACGTGGTTGAGATAAGGCCATAATAGGATGTGTAATCTTGGGCGTGCGGTATGTTTATTTAACTGTGGAAGTCAAATTTACCGCGGCTCTGTTCAGGTTTATCCAGATATGCCCCGTGCTATGCTGACTACCGGGGTTGCATCATCCCGGGCAAGAGGAGGATGTCTGTCCTCTTTTGGCTCGGGTACTTACGGATACAAAGGCACGCGACCAGCTTGGCTCCATTCTCCGGGACTGGGCACGCGGGGAAGAGAGGCTTCAGGAGGTATGTGGCGAAGACATACGCGACAATATACTGCGAGGACGGCCGAATGATGAGCAGCTCTATCCACAGTTTCAAGAAAGCCAGTAGGGGCCCGTACACCTCCAGGATGTAGGCATAATCTCCCCCAGACTTCGTGATCGTGGTCCCCAGCTCGGCGTAGCACAGAGCTCCTACGGTGGAGAAGACCCCACAGACCGTCCAGACCACCAGGGACAACCCCACGGACCCGGCCTCCTTCACTACCCCGGTGGGAGTGACGAAGATGCCCGAGCCGATGATGGTGCCCACGATGATGGCCACCCCGTTCATGAGCGTGATGGTCCTCTTTAGGGCGACCCCATCCTCCCCTCCCGCCGCTTTACTGCTACTGTCCCCGGGCATAAGAGCTCCGGTTTCTGTCGTCTCCGTCGGTGTTGTCGGTGTTGTCGGTGACAGCATCCTTTCACTCACTTGCTGGTCTTCCTCCTTGTTTATGGAGGAATTCGAGTTTCTCTTCTTTACCCCCGACATCTTCACTGGATGTTTCCGTGTTTCTCAGTCACGCTCGGTTAGAAGCTTCCCGTTCCGCCCGCAGGCTGGTTCCCCTCGGCCGTTGTTTGTAGCCCAGAGTCGGCCAGGCTGTGCCACGAGGAGTTGGTCTGAGTCTGAACGGCGTGTTTCTCACCGTAGCGCCACTCCAATGAATAAAACCACGCAACATCATCACAGCCGGCCTACTTCAAGTCCAGCCCCCTGTGTCTGCTGCTCAGTCTCAGGTGTAGCATATTTGCACCCTCTACTGGTGACGGGCGGTACAACACTTATCTGTCAGTGGTTCTCAAAGTTTGCAAGTACCACCTAAAATAATATTTAGCTTTCTGAATGCCACCACATCTAAGCCAAGACTATATCATGCCTAATTTAGATAATTAATAGTAAAAAGTAATTATTAATATTCTATTAACGGTAAATTACATTAGACAAAGGTAGTTCTAAATGATGAATAACCAAAGGAGGAGGAGGAAATATATCTCTACATAAACTTCAAACTAGGCCCCACATTGCTCCAATGACACACCTACTACAATTTGAGAAAGTCTGTAAATTCATATAATAAAAAGTGACCCAGAAGTCCTCTTGTAACCTGATACCAGTGTCTTTCCTCAGGACCTTGTGAAAGTTTGTGTTATATTATGTTACTTTATATTAGTGTTAATACAGTCCCACACCTTGACCTACTATTGACATGCTAGGTAGGTGAGTCATCACTAATACTATAGTATTACAACATCTCTGCCTAGAACATCCCAGGGTTGAGATATGCACCCAAACCTGCTTGACAGGTTTTTTTTAGGAAATAGACATAAATTGCCTGAGGTGCAGAACCTCTGGCCCCATAATTTTAGGCATACTCCAACACAGTCGTTCCAATGCACAGTGAGGAATGGCAAGCAGCCCTCATTAACTTTTAATCCCCCCCCCAAAAAAAAGTAAAAATAGGCTAAACATTAAGGCACATATTGCAGACATGTAAAAAATGTTCACAAGGCTGAGGCGTATCCATACACGCCTAGTTTTTAATTCCAACAAGGACTGTTGTATTCTGTTAAACCCTAAAATATGAAAGTGTCTGTGAGAAATAAAACCACAGGAAAGATTATCAGGTTAGACTCCTTAACTTGGAAGACAAGTCCCAATACCACAAAGTCACTGATGAAGAAATACATTCATAGCTCAAATTCTAGGTTCAATTCAATATCTCTTGAGGCATTTGCATGTTTTGGCATGTTCTCCTTATTGTTGTGTTTGTGTCTGTTGTTAGAGAAAGAAGAAGAATACAAAAAGTAAGACTGAGATCAAAATCTATGTCCTGCCATACTCTAGTATAGAGTTTAGAAACACAGTGGAGCAGTGGAGCACTTCCTGTGTTACCACATGACATCACAAGGTGGAACAGAGTGTTTTCTGTTTGAAAGAAGAACTCAGCCTAAATATGCAGGGTTTGCGTGTTAAACATGTGTGAATGAAACAAAAGTCCAGGCATGTTTGTGATGAGGAAACAACATTATAACAGCGATTAGAATATACAATTAAGCTACTTTATACTTTAAATTGGAATAGTTCATATTTGCTTTTCAGACAACGCACTTGCCTTATTGATAGTTGTTAAGAGCACATCATGGTATTCAGTTCCACAGACAGACAATTTCCTGTGCTGAGACATAGCGGATATGGTCAATATTGCTCTCCTTTAGCCAGGGGAATGCAGGACCTTCACTTCAGGTCAGCTTTAGAGCTCCAAATACACCTTAATCCTGTCTGCCCCTCTGTCTCGGATATATGTCACAGACCCACAAAAGACATTGCAACAAATAGAATGCAACTTTCAACTGTAAAAAAATAAAAATAAAAAAATTAATCAGTGCTTCAATCCAATATTTTCCACTCTCTTTTCAAATACACTGTTAAAAACTCCATATACTCTCAAATAAATCAATAAAGCTGAATAATCAGAGTGAACCACTTTTTAAATAAACAGTGTAAGTAAAAGGCCTGAGCTGCAGCAAATTAATCTCTCTAGTAATTCCTGTGACAGACCTATTATACACTTAAACTAAACTCATTAAACCAAAAGGGAGATGATTCCTCTCAACAAAGCACAATAACTGTTTGGATTTGAATAAATGCCTTTTAATGCCATACTGTGGAACATTTCAGACAAAGCTTTAACATCCTTATGGAGTCAACCTGGTGGCAGATCTTCTACCTGAAAACTCACATAGTGCAAATAACGGTGTGCAAAAATATCAATATATTATGATACTAAATTTGATGATACAGTGTCTTTATCATGGGCTGCTGTATCGATATATAAACAAAGACAATTTTTTGTTGTCGGTTTCAGGATTTTTTTGTGACCACGCTATGATTTTGTTGCTTATTTAGTGGAAGGAACCTTGTTGATGCAATACACTTGACATATTCACTGTTTTGATGATTAAAATAGATGTATTTCATATTAACTTTGTAGAAGTAGTGGTTAAACAAAGAAATATTGTGGCTAAAATGTATTTTATTCTTAAAAAAACAGTAATATAGTACAGAGTATTGTGCAATATATTGCTTATTGCATGTATTGTTATATCGTAATAATATCAGATCGTGAGCTGTGTTTTGGATCATGAAGGACTGCAATTCCCAGCTCTAATACCAAACATAATAGCACTTTGTTGAATGTAAACAGATGCCTGAAATGGCTGCAGTCTCCTACTCGAAGCCAAAGGAGGCCTTGAAAGGACGTGTCATGGGAACAGGTCAGAGCTGTGACTTCAGGTGGGTGTGAGAGAGCATTGACCTTGGCAGCTGTTATAGACTTTGTTTTAGGTTTTCTCTCAATGTAACTGGACAAACAGTCTCTTTCTATTGAGGACAACAGCTTTGGTTTCCTTGACTCAGAGAGGACTGCTTTATAAATCTTTTGTTCAGTCTTTGGATAAGTGCGAAGAGGAACATGGAGACACACAAAGCCCGTTGTCAGCAAATCAAACATGTGACCCTTTTCTTTCTATTAGATGTTCTGTTCTGTTATACACTTTATAATGAGGCATACTAATCATTTGTAAATGTTTATTAACTATTAAAGGTGCATTGTGTAAACTTTTCTGGGTCCGTCACCTGCTTGTTTCTATGGATATGTTATTGCTCTACCTGGAATGTTCCACAGTATGACATTAAAATAGCTCTACCTTACATTTATTCAATTACAGGTGTTTTTACTGCTCAAAATCCCTCAAAACAAAACAAAAAAGGCATTCTGATAGCGAGCGGGTTGCGTCTCCGCAGATCTGACCTGGAACATGGTCTGGATTTGTTACCATGAAGATAGAAAGTTTTAATACCATACTGTGAAATATTCCAGACAAAGAAACATATCCATAGAGAAAAGCATTTGATGAACCCTCCACCAGAAAAGTTACATAATACACCTTTAACTAATCATGTACTAAAAATTCTAATTATTAATACCTGACTAGCTAATGATTAATAAACATTTTTTAATTGTTTGTAGATGATTAAATAATCCATTTCCATGTTGGTTTTATTCATTTTTTATCATTCATGTTTTATAAATGAGTAATAACACTTTTTGTCCATGTTTGTACATCATTATTAAACATTATTAAGTAGTTCAATTGCAAAAAACGATATCTGTTTTAAAAATTTGGCAAAACCAATTTCTCTTTGTTGCCATGTTCTACAAATTTTATCATTGGCAATAATGTGGATTTTGTTAAACTGCAAGCGTAAGATTACTTTAAAAAATTGCTGTTCTTGCAAATTAACTCTTCACTTTTTAATAGGTAATTTTAAATAATAATAATAATAATACATACCACTTGTATAGGGCTTTTCTTGACATTCAAAGATCCATCCATTCATCAATTTTCGTCCGCTTATCCGGGGCCGGGTCGCGGGGGGAGCAGCCTAAGCAGGGACTCCCAGACTTCCTTCACCCCAGACACGTCCTCCAGCTCCTCCGGGGGGACCCCGAGGCGTTCCCAGGCCAGTCGAGAGACATAGTCCCTCCAGCGTGTCCTGGGTCTTCCCCGGGGCCTCCTCCCGGCGGGACATGCCCGGAACACCTCCCGAGGGAGGCGCCCAGGAGGCATCCGGAACAGATGCCCGAGCCACCTCAACTGGCTCCTCTCGACGTGGAGGAGCAGCGGCTCTACTCCGAGCTCCTCCCGTGTGACTGAGCTCCTCACCCTATCTCTAAGGGAGCGCCCAGCCACCCTGCGGAGGAAACTCATTTCGAGCGCTTGTATCCGCGATCTCGTCCTTTCGGTCACTACCCAGAGCTCAAACATTCAAAGATGCTTCACACAATTCAAAACAGACAGAACACAAATGAAGAACCAGCTATAATTGAGATGCAGATATTTGAAGACAGGTTTGAACAGATAACAGAAAAGATTTTAGTAAATGATGAGTTAATAACATTTACAAATGACTGAATTGTAGGTATGCCATCTTAAAAAGTGAGCTACACAACATCTCCTTGGAGAGCAGTTATGATCCTGGAATACACCAGCTCATTCAAGTCTCACTACAGCACCTGCGGACGTTTACACACAGTTCAAAGTGCAGGGGTCTCCAGTCAGTCTGCACAGCTCAGTACAATCAAGGGAAACCCCCACAGAAGCAGCACAGTGTCCTCCGGGCCCCCACAGCGACGCACAATAAACAGCCTAAAATCGCCACTCCGAAGAGGTGGGACGGCCAGAGTAAACACCCCACCCTGAGGCCCTCGTGTGGGTGAGGTCCCCAAACATCCCCTCTTCAAAGGGGAGCGGGGCAGGGATTCTTCAACAACTGGTTTTCATGAATTCTTGGAGTAAGAAACTGACAGGTGGTTTAGGGTAAATGTAAGGAATTATAAATATATACAGGGTGTCCCCCCCAAAAATTGACATCATTTCGCAGGACAATCATTTTGGCAATTCTTCTTGAAATAACTATTAAATCAAATTTTCACAGAATGTATAGAACAACATCAAGATTTTATATTTAATGTTTTGTTTTTGTTCTGTTTTCAGGTTGAGTCAATTTTTTGGAACACACTGTATAGCTATAGTTCACAAAAAGTACCACATAAAAATAATTTCTCTCTTAAAGGTGAGAAAAACTGTAACTTTTCTGGTAGAGGGCACCCCAGTTACTAGTTTCCATAGATATGTTATTGCTTTGCCTGCAATGTTCCAAAATATGGCATTAAACAATCTCCAGAGAGACAATCAGGAGATGCCACCAGGTCAATTTACAGGTGAAATCTGTGAAGAGACTCAGTCAGAAAGCATGTTTTTGAAGGTATATATATCTGTGGGACTCCCAGATACAGACCGACAGGATGGTGATGGCGAACCAACCAGACAGTGGTGACAGATAAGCAACAGAGCAGAGCCGTGGTGGTGGGCATCGCAATACCAAGCGATGGTAATATCAGGAAAAAGGAACACGAGAAACTAGAAAAATACCAGGGGCTCAAGGAGGAGCTGGAGAAAGCCTGGAAAGTGAAGGCATCAGTGGTGCCCGTGGTGACTCGGGGCCGTAACCCCCAAACTGGGAGAGTGACTACAGCAAGCAGAAATCTCAGTCCAGAAAAAGAACAATACTAGTAACAGTAAAGATACTGCACAGAACTCTCAGGCTCCAGACCTCTGGTAACCACACACAAATAAATAAATATAAATTTATATCTATATCTATATCTAATATATCTATATATCTCTATATCTCTATATCTATATCTATATCTATATATCTATATATATATATATATATATATATATATATATAGATAGATAGATAGATAGATAGATAGATAGACTAAAACAAGCTGGATCAAAACATGTCAGATGTGCCAGTCCAGAATGAATTAAGTACAAAAGTTATTTTAAATGATTTTATTTGCATTTCAAATGTTACACAGTGTTTTAAAATCAATAAACATGATTCTTAAAGCAGCAAAACTGACTCAAACCATCTTTCTGTAACAATCCAGGACGAGTGAACGAGCAGAGGCCCAAACTGAGCTTCACATGTCAGGAATGTAGGCTGCACAGGAAAAATAAACAGCTTTCAAATATGTCGATATATGTAAATGTATGAGGAAAGGCTTTGAGGTGGTGCAGTTTACAAGGACTCACACCTGCTAAAACACCAGAACAGGATGGACACAGAACCCACACAGCATGAGACCACAACAAAGGCATATGAAAAAAAGAGGCAAAAACATTTTGATTTATAACAGTGTTTAAACTGTACATCTGCTATACAATATGGATATTTTAACGATTGTTTAAAGGTTCATTGTGTAAATTTTCTGGTGGAGGGTCCGTCAAATACTTTACTCCATGGAGACATTATTGCTTTGTCTTGAAGGTTTCACAGTATGGTATTAAACCTTTCTATCTTCATGGAGACCAAACCAGGCCAAATTACAGGTCAGGTCTGTGGAGAGGCAAATCCGTTAACAGAATGCCTGTTTTTCTAGGCATTTTTGAGCTATAAAACCATCTTGAATAAATGTAAAGTATAGCTATTGAAAGCCACACTGTGGAACATTCCAGGCAGAGCAAAGGCACATCCATAGAAACAAACAGGTGACCCCCAGCCATAAAATTATACAGTGCACTTCTGGAAAGTGGAAAGTGAAAAATTGTCAGGTAAGTGTTGCTGTAAATATAAGATACCTTTACTGTAGTAACATTATAAAGGGGTCCTTATTTCCATTTTAATAAAAAAAAAAAAAGGTCTATAGAAAAAAGTGTTGCTGTAAAAAAACTTTATTGAAATAATATTAAAGATGCACTGCATTACTTCTCAGGTTGTGGGTCCATTACAATGGAGATTTGATTGCTTTGCCTTCAATGTTCCACAATATGGAATTAAACTTATATAAGATACATGTATTCAATTATGGGCATTTTTATTGCTCAAAAAACCTAAACTAAAAACTTGTGTTTTTATTGTGAGTTCACCTCTTCACAAATCTCATTTGTAAATTGTCTTGGTGTCATCCCCTGCTTGTTTCAATTGAGATTGAAAAGTTTAATGCCATCATTTGGAATACTGGAGGTAAAGCAATAACATCAAGTAAGTGGCAGGCCCTCTATTAGAAAAGTTACAGTGCACCTCTAAAGAAGAGTCCTTATTTCCAGTTTAATAAAATACATTTGATTTTACAGCTCAACTGGCATCTATCCCCACTCCAATGTTCAAAGTCACATTGCTGCACCTGCCACTTCTTTTCAAGGCATTATAGTTTTTGTATTCACTTGAGGCCTCGTCGTACAGAATGGTCCCGCTGGGGAGAGGCTCAGGGTGTGGACTGTTTCAAATGGGTCAGGGGCTTGAGAAGAGAATCTTTCATTGTTGTTCAGAAATTCAAAAGACTAGCATGACCTCTGCTGCCCATGAGCTTGGAACAACACCTGCACTTCTTCTCATTCTTATACATGCATATTTGTCTTCTGTTCAGGAATATATACATACAGTTTTACTCATTTTATTAATAAAACACAGTACAAGTAACAGTGTTGTTTTAAACCTTGCAGCAGCTACAGTAGGTTATGCATTTACAGTTTGTGATCTAAATCTGCATTGAACAGTTAGGCCTGTCACGAGATTTACTATATCAACTTATTGTTCAAGATATAATAGAAGGAACCATATTTTGGGGGGGGTCAATATTTATTAAGTGCTCATTGTATTTTCACTGCTTTGGAAACTCTGACTCATTACAGATGCAATTAAAGTGCTAAAGTGTTTCAATGTGCTGTTTATTTATTGCAGCTACCACTATTGTGATTTTAAATCATTTTTGTGGTTAAATTTGCTCTTGGATTATCGTCAGTGACATAAATTAGTTTCAATATTATAGTTTATTGTCTATATATGATTAAGAAATATATAGCACATGAAATTTTGTTATCGTGACAGGCCTATAAACAGTATTATTTCTATAAACACATATTTCATTTATACATTTTTAAAGAATTGCCAATATGACACACATATTAAAATCTAAGTGATTATGTACACTCAATATATGATAGAACTACATTCAGTACTTCAGACTTGTACTATTTTGTCAGCATAATATACTGAAGACTAAACAAAGTCTTATCTTTAGTGCCCTCACAGAGCTGCTCTCATCTCCTCTTGTGCGTATGATGACTGGCAATGAGTAGAATACAACATCCAATACTTCAGACCCTACTCTACCACAACAATCAGAACTATTTAAAATGCATATGACAGGTTTTGACGATTCTCAAACTTGTATTTAATTAGGTTGGATGATACCTATTGTAAATGTAAATGATAGTTTTAGATCAATCAAGAAACAATTTGTGAAAGGAACCTTAAAAAAATTAGAGTAGAGACCCACACTGATGGCATCAAATTATAAGAAGAATTTTATCCAGAAGTTCAGGACAATTTACACGCAAGAAACAACATTTTCTGATACTTTTAACATAATTTCAACAAAAGAAAAGGTGCTTCTTATATTTGTATTTGTCAAATAACAATCCCTGTGTACATTAAAGGATATGGAATTCCCTAGAGTGAAGTCATGATTTCCAACCAGAAGTCAAATTTTAAACCTAAAAAATTGCCAAACTGGGGAAGAAAATGTCAAATTTGTATTCAAATCTTAAATATAATGATCTTATGTTTGGCAAAATGTGTAGTCCAACCTGTCATAGGCACTTCAGTGATTTACATATATTTATTTTCAGACGAACGTAGTGTGAGTACCTACATCATACAGCTAACAAAGACAGTTCTTCTAAGGTGAGGCTCTTTTGAACAGGCAAAGATATTTAAGTGTGAACCGGTGCTTAAAACAGTCCCACAAGTACACAATGGCACTTTCATAAGGCACTTTAATATGAGGCCATTGTGAGAAAGCACCAAAGAGATGAGAAAACTATTCATTCTGTTATTCTGCAGCCATGTGGTACTCAGAAATGCATAAACAAAAGAACTTTGTTTTATCTAAATTTACAACTAAACCTGTTATGAGAGCAGTGGCATTAAAACTGATGTCAAACACATTTTTGCTATCTGGTAATAACATCAATGATGTTATATATATATTACTGCATTTTCTTCCCTTGAGTAGTAGGATATAAACTCAGTAACCATATGCACTAAAACTGCTGTGAAGTTAATTCATCATTCAGCAATGAAAAATCATTCTGTAAAAGGTTGTGGTTGTTCCATCTCTATAATCTCTGCTATAATAACTGTATGAAATATAAAAAAAAAAAAATCGTGTTTAAAAATATATTTTCCCCGCTGTATATCCCTTATTATTTGTATCTACAGAAAAGTAAAAAGTTAAATGATAAAATTAAGATTTGACAGAAGAAAATGGAGAATCAGGTTCAAGGGTAGTATTTAAATAATGTGATTAAATAATGTGAATTGTTTCTCTTGTGCTTCTTTTGCATTTCTCTGTGTTGACTCAAACTACTTAAAAATGGAGTTATGACAAGATAAAAATGACCAGTTGAATACTGATTCTCCATCTCCATACTAAAACAGTCTTCTAAAAGTGAAACTGAAGAAGGCTTGTAACATGTGTGATTTGGTACGGTCACGGCTGTAAAGACAGCTTCGTGTGAGGTGGTATGTTTGAAGAGGGGGTTAGTGGCTGTGCTCCTTCACCTCGTCCAGCGCTGAGTCTTTGAGGAACGGGGTAAAGGAGGAGCGTACAGTGCGGCCGCGGAGAGGCTGCGTCTCCCGGAAGTTATTAACCATGCTCTTCTGGACCTCCTCCTCTGCAGCCGTGAACAGGAGACTTCGAAACACTGCCAGCTGCAACAGAGGCAAGCAAAGACAAATGTGAGGAGAAAGAGAAATTATACACTTCAGTTAATAACTTCTACTACTACTACTTTGAAGCAAAATCAATATTCCATTTGCTTAAATATTGTGGAAACATGTGTAAAGGCATGTACAAAGCTTTTGTTTGCAGAATACTTAAAAAGGACTTTCTGCCTGCCTGCCATATCTTCCTAAGTAAATAGGCCTGAAAGTCCTTTAAACAAACGGATTCACATTCAGAAATCTCAGAGGGCAATTCATTTGCAGCAGTTCTCTCATATACATAAACTCACACAATGGGTCAGCCTGTTCCAGTTTACAAGTGGAACTCAATATAATAATATAATATATTATAACTGAAGAAGAACTGAAGAACTGAGGAAGCAGCTGCGAAACATATTCGACCAAATAAACTTAGTCCAGTTGACAAATTGAATTTCGCATTTGCCAATATATTACAACGTGAATTACATCAAAAAACACTACCATGAGAGTTCAGCAATTTAATGACAGAAGGCACAAGAGAATTAGAGAAGGGATTTGTTTTACATTCTGGTGCATAAAACTGACACCCTGAAGGCATCATGACAAGGTGTGGAGCCAGAAGATATGGAGGGGCTGAGCCAAGAGATACTTTGCTTTAGAGCAGGTATCAGGTTAGATATATATATTTATAATTTAATAACCCCTGAATGTAGATGTACATGTGTAATACTGGTCTGGGTTATGCTGCCTAGGGAGAACAGATGGAAATGAGCATCTTTTGTATAATGTCACATATTAACACTATAAGTAAGCATCATTGGAACTCAAAATATAAATAGCAAGAGGTATCGTTTCTCAATCAGTACAGAGACCTGATTTCAGATTTAAAAGAAAAGTGGAACTGAAATAGTATTTGCATACAAACATTTTACATCCTTAATAAATAATAAAATAAAAAGAAATTATAATTATAATGTCAATATTCCAGTAAATGGGTTTATAATAAGAAATGCAATATAGGAGGTACTCTATACACAATTCTGGGAGCACTACTCAAGAAACAAAAATTCCCTGCAAAGGTTAAGTTAGAAATGTAATCTCTGATTCGAGGAGGTTAAAACGAAACCTTATCACAACTTGCCTGTGACCATCAAAGTAGCACAAAGATAGACATGAGACAGCCAGCCTCAAAGCAATGAGAAATGTTGCTCTAAAATGTGTGTACTTGTCAAATTTTCTTCCTCTAAAATGATTACAAGGATGCATTGTTTATTTCTACAGGAGTGAATGATGTTTACAAACCTGGTCATGGCTGACTTCGATGTGCTGCTTCATGACAATCCAGGTGACAGCCTCAGTGAGAGGAGGGGTGGTCAGAGAGCCGTGATAGGTCCAATAATCATCGATATTAGAGGGAAGTAGACAAGCTGGGTCAAACTTAGTGAACTCCACCACACTGCCCTGAGGAAAACCATTGACAAATAGTGCTATAAAATGTTACTACTGTACTGGCTAATATTGTATAAATTATAAATCACAAAGTAAGTGTTTATTATTTTTTATTAAAGGGCCCATATTACGCTATTTTCTGATATCTGTGTTGTTTCCTCATCAAAAACATCCCCAGAGGTATATTTGCTTCACACATGTTTAACACACATACACTGCATATTTAGGCTGAGTTCTCCTTTCAAACAGAAAACACCCTGTTCTACCTTGTGATGTCATCATGCTCCACCATATGTTTAAACTCCATATACCTTGACTAGAATCATTTGGATCATTTCCTCCATGGAATTGCCCATTTCTACTCTACAAAAGGTAAAAGTTACCTGTTAACTTGAAAACTACCACTTGATGACATCACATGGTGGAAAAGAGCATTTTGAGCTTTGGCGATGTTGACAAACTAATAATAAAGGGTTACTCAAACATGTGTGAAAGAAACAAAACAAAACTCCAGGTATGTTTTTGATAAGGTAACAATATTATAATATGGCTTAAAGTTCACAAGAGACAATTTTATGTAACATAGGACCTTTAACTGTAGCCCACCAAAGTACATAATAAACTTGTTCAGTTTAATCTACAAACTAAGAGGACCCCACTTTTATTTAATCCTCAGTATATCACCTGAACTGCATGCCTCACTGTATGCTTTTATATACTAAACAAAAAGATGCAATGGCAGTGGCAATGGAATAAATGTAGTTTTGTTACACAGTTTGCTAGACACCTCTGGCATATCCACCACATCAAAACTGGGACTAAACTGGGACTAAATCTACAACTAAACCTGGATGAGATGAAGACAAAACCAGAACTAGAACAGGACTGAACCAAGTCTGCATCAGGATTACATGGGACTCAAACCAGGACCAAACAAAGACAAATGTGAATGCTCCCCAAATAAGACTCGCAGTTGCACACAGATCAAAAGTAGATAGCCACCAATTTAATTTTGTAGAAGTAACTCTCTTGTGAAAAAGATTGGAGACTGCTATCGATACTAACATTATTAAATTATTATTACCTGGGATAGAATCAAATTAAAAGACCATTAACTTTAATCTTATTCCATAAACATCATTTATCATAGGTTTATGTTGATAAGCTATCAATTAAAACAGTAATAAAAGATTTCATCATGCTGTATTGTCTACAAAATGACAACAGAGGGAGCCATTGTCATTTTAAAATATTGTCCATTTGTTACCATAAAAAATTGCAAGCACATAAGAAACAATATAGAGCTAGATGTCTATGCAAACAGAAATAAATCTCCAATGCTGACCCCTTCTCGCTGTTTGCTTGAGTATTAGTTATAACAGCTCACCTTGTGTCTGATCGCTGGCAGGGCATCTACTAGTTTCTGCAGACCCTCATGTCTCTTGCCAATCTAATATAGGAAAAAAATATATATATATTGTACATGTGGATATTCAGAGGTTTTCCCAAGGTTAGTCTGTGAATAAGTAATTGTGGTAGTGAATCCCTGTCACCTTTAGAAAGACTCCTAAAACAGCCAGTCCATTGTCCTCAACCACAGCTTCCTCAAACAGACTGTACTTGTCTGCATTCCAGTGCACCAAGTGAAGCTGTGGAGACACACATATTGCAAACATTATAATTTCAGAATAAGTTTTATTACTATAGATTTTTATTTTTACTGAACCAAGATAATCCCACTGATATTTGCTATCCCATACGCCCAGGAGTCAATTCAACATTTATATAAATAACTGGTAAGTGTTGGAGTTTACATTACTACTTACCTATGGTATCTATGTACAACTATTCAATACTCTGTGTCATACAATAGTGTATGACACAATGATGCTGATTTTATCATTTCTGTGTCAGGTGACCTCCATCATCTCACTGCCAAAAATAAATCTAAATTTCTAAACTACATTTCAGACAATGACTTATTCTTATAAAAGCCTTTTCATTGAGTACTGATTATCTGCCACTTCACAGCCTCTTTCTGTGACTGGTCCAAAGTTTGTCTGTGTTGTAAAGAAAGTTTTTAATCTGAGCGTTTGATAAAATCTCACTGTACCTCAGCTGGAAACAGCCTCCTGTCCACCGTGTGTTCAGAGCCCCAGGAGTTGCATTCGCCCCAGTGAAAGTGGAACTGACAGAGCCTGAATGTGTCTTGAAGGGGGCCTCCTTTCAGTGCTGCACCAAAAATAGACAAGACAAATACACTAATATTAGCCCATCAGGTATCAGCATTATCCCCAGTCCATTCAGAGTCACTGTTTCTTGAAAGCAAACAAAACAGATCATTCTTCACTACCTCTGTTATTGTCTATTGCAAAATAAAGTATTTCTTCAATAAGGAAGTAAGTTCAACAACAGTTGTTAAGACAATGCTGTCTTGTCTTAGGATCTGAAAATAAAATAACAACTTTTTTTTCTGATGTTTGTAATATTTTATGGCAGCATTAGTTGTCTCTATTTGTAGTGAAAACAATGGTTTTCCTGGTTCCTTTGCACAATAGTGACTTAATAACATAAAACTTTCCTATAAAGTTTCCTGATTAGTTTAACTATAACTTTCCTAAGTTTCCTTGTTTGTATTTGTAGTCAACCCTAAATATTTCAGTTCACTGTTCATCCAATCAAAATTTACAGTGTGCTAATCGTCATGACAACTCCATTACTACATTATAATAAGACAAACATTATTAGAGGTCAAGGGGTCAGAGAAGTCACATGACAGTCAGCATAACCACGTGGAAACTGTGGTTTATGTGGAACATTGATTAGAAAAATATTTTCACAGCTTGGGCCTTTAAGGGAAAAAAATAATCCTCTTGAAAGAACAAAACATCTCTGCAGGGATTGAAAAGTCTATGAAGATTAAAATGAAATATTATGTACCAGGTCCAGCAAATGTGTACTATTATTCAAATGTATTGTATTACAGAAAAAAACACTTACTTGACTTGTCTGTGGTGTCATCATATTCAACCAGGAAAGAGTAACCGTTGTTCCAGATTTGTTGGCAGGTTTTTGGGTCGTACTCTGTGACCAAAGGCTTCAGTTTTGAATCAAAGACACTTTTCCGCACGACGATATCAATGGGAGACTGGCGATCACCACCTGGTATGGCGAGCGGCTCCTGCCACATGGGATGCACTAAAG